CAACCTCCCCTCCCACCACAGCTTGCCTGGCGGGTTTGCTATCCGCCCCCACCCCAGTGATCACATTGGTTCCTATGGTTCCCAGGGGTATCCAGGAGTCAATGTTTATAGCACTCTTTGGGACCAGCAAGACAATCATTAACCTGAGCCTGCTCAGGAGAGTCACACCTCCAAGCCTGCCCTGAGCTTCCTTACGAGAGCTCCCTGTGACCTTGGGTAAGTCTCTCTTTTTCCAAGTCTCAATCTAATCACACGGGGAGAGGAATTGTCCTCTTCATAACCAAACTATAAAGATTGGCTATAGGTATGAGAGCAATCAAGGGAGGAGTGATCACCACCTCTTATCATGGCCACAAACGGGGGCCAGAGCCCAGCGCTCATCCTCAGAAGTCAAGGGCAGGGTGAACAAACCCCAGCTCTCTGACTCCTCAACTCTTTCCTTCAGGTTATTGCTGTTCCCTGTGTGCCTTACTGTTCCTGTGTGTGCTGGCATCCACCCTGTGCAGGTATCTTTAGGTGCCAAGTGGAGGGCTTACCTTCCTCCAGGGAGGTTAGACCTGCTGGTTATCTGTTCCCACAGCCCCTATCAGCCCCAATCTCATTTCTGATCTGTCACAAAGGCAGGGTGGGTCTCAAGGGCAGCCCTTTCACATCCTTTCCCCCTTCCATGTTCCAAGCAAAAATGAGACAAAGACATTAGTTCTTGCCTAGGAGCTGAGAGGCCCCATCAGGGAAAGGAGCTTGGGGATTAGGGCCAGCTATCAAATGTCCCACCTGTCTCTTCCAGGGTCTTCAGGCGTGTCTTGCTGTGGAAGATTACTATATGAAAAAGATCTTCATCCCTGCCTGATACATGTTGGTTTCAGGACAAGTAGGCAAGTGGCTAGTTCCAAAATGTGTCCACCGTACTTTGGGCTTTTGGGAACACCTGGTTCTGGAAGATGACAGACTTGAGAACACCTTTCAGACTCTTCAAATTGACTCACGACTGGAAAGTCAGAAAGTTGCTTAGGAAACATCTTACATGAACTCCCAGCCTTACTCTCCCCATCTGTGCGATGTGGGGTATGCTGAGGACCCATGCTCAGAGCTAAGCTCTTCCCTCTTTCCTGGATTTCCTTTAAGAAACCATCTGTTGGGCTAGATGCTTAGAGGACTTGTAACAACTGTGGTCATTTTTGTTCCCACAAATATAGTCAGTCTGGACTTCATATTGAAGTCACTTGAGCCTAGGGTACATGAGTCCCTGCCTCAGAACAAAACAAAAACCCAGAACAAGGCCTGGAGGTGTAGTTCAGTTGGCACAGTGCCTGCCTAGCATGCAGGAAACCCCAGGTTGAATCTCCAACACTGCACAGGAATCAGGTGTGATGGTGTAAGGCTGTGATCCTCCCTACTTGGGAGGTAGAGGCAAGAGGATCAGAAGTCAAGGTCATCCTCATGTACACAGTAAGTATGAGGCTAGCCTAGGCTACATGAGACTTTGGTTGTCTCAAAACAACAAAGAAACAAACAAAAAATGGGCTGGTGAGATGGCTCAGCGAGTACAGGCACTTGCCGCCAAGCCTGGTGACCTGAGTTCCATCCCTGGGGCCTATAAGGTGGAAGGAGAGAACTGACACCTGACACAAGTTGTCCTCACACCTCCATACTTGTGTCACCACAGGCATACTTCCTACATACACACACATACAAATAAATGAATGTAATAAAAAGAGAAAGCAATTTTTTTGAAAAAAAAGCAAAAAGAAAGAAAAAATAGTGTACCCCAAGACAGAAGATAGCACTTAGCACTTGTCCACTGTACCATCTCTCGGGGTGAAATGTCACCCCAAGTATATTAACCGTCACACAGCTTCAAGGTTACACCTGCATCCAGCTGAAGATGAGGGCTCTTGAAGTAGGTGCCGTGGGACTACTTATATCTGTGCAGAGCTGGTGACCACAGCAATGGCAGGGGTCAAAGGTAGCTTGTAAGATAAGCAGTGGAACACAGAAAACCATGCAGTGGGCATCCAGCCAACTTTCCAGCTTTTTAGTTGTTGGGGAAGTACTGGGCAATGTGTGAGGAGGCCAGTGACAGAGACAGGAACAGAGACAGAAGGCAAACAATCAGAGGTTGCATCATGGAGCTGGCAATGGCCAGAGTATGCCTTGTAAGCCTGGATAAAGAATATGGATTTTTATAATCAGTGTTGGGGAAGATCCCTGGGGAAGCTGGGTGTGGTGGCTCATGCCCATAATCCCAGCCCTCAGGAGGCTGAAGCAGGATTGCCAAGAGTTTGAGGCTAGCCTGAGCTACATAAAAGACCATCACAAGGGCTGGAGAGATAGCTCGGTGGTTAAGAGCACTGGCTACTCTTCCAGAGGACTGGGGTTCAATTCCCAGCACCCACATGGCATCTAACAACTGTCTGTAACTCCAGTTCCAGGGGATCCAATGCTCTTCTCTGACCTCGCAGGCACTGCATGACATGGGTGCACCCATCTACATGCAGGCTTTATGCTCATACACATAAAATAAAAATAATAGATAAAAAAAAAGACCATCACAAACAAAATCCCCATGCCAAGCCAGGCGTGGTGGCACATGTCTGTTATCTCAGCACTAGGGAGGTGGTGGCAGGAGGATCAGGAGTTCAAGAGTTAGAGGCCACACTGTGCTACATGAGACCAAGTCTCAAAAAACCAAAAGAGGGTTAGGGAGATGGCCCAGTGGGTAAAGCATTTGCCACCATGCAAGCATGAGGATTCGAGTTCAGATCCCCAGAACCCATGTAAAACTAGATTCAGTAACATGCTGTCTGATTCCAGCACTCCTATGGCAAGGTAGGAGGCAGATGGGCTGGAGAGATGGCTCAGCAGTTAAGAGTGCTTTCTCTGCAATCACGAGGACTGGAGTTCAGATCAGCATCCATGTAACAAGCTGGGTGTTTCCTAAAATCCCTGTAACCCCAGCTCTGAAGAGTGTAGAGGCAGGAAGATGATTGGGGCTTGGGGGACACACACAGTCTCAGCTAGCTTGCTTCCAACCGGGCACTAGAAAGCTGCATGGCCTTGGATTTTTGCTATGTAGCCCAGGCTGGGCTTTAACTCCTGTTAATTCTCCTGCCAGGAGTGTAGAGGCAGGAAGATGATTGGGGCTTGGGGGACACACATAGTCTCAGCTAGCTTGCTTCCAACCGGGCACTACAAAGCTGCATGGCCTTGGATTTTTGCTATTTAATGCCTGGTTCTTCATCTCTGCAACTGAGTTTTTGCTATGTAGCCCAGGCTGGGCTTTAACTCCTGTTAATTCTCCTGCCTCAGTCACTTGAGAGGCTCTCATGGGATTATAGGTGTGCACTACCATACCTGGCTTGCATTTGGGATCTTAACCCTGCCCCACTGATACAAAATACCTAACACATATGGAGATGGAATGTAAGCATAGGAAGCATTGTGATAGTGTTTTACTCAGTACTCAGGCTGATCTTAAACTTGCTTCCAGCCTCCTGCCTCTGTCTCTTGGGTGCTGGGATTAGACACATATGCTACCATGCCCAGCCCTTAAATTATTTTTAAAGTTTTTATTTTATGCATACAAGGGTTTTGTCTACATGTAAGTGCACATGCAATGTCCACAGATGCCAGAAGAGGGCATGGGATCCCCTGGAACTGGAGTTACAGATGATTGTTAGCCGCAATGCGGGTGCTGGAAACCAAATTTGGGTCCTTTGCAAGAGCAGCACATCTTTCAAGGCCCACAAATTATTTTTTATTTTATTATTATTGTGTATGGTGTGTGTTGTGAAGTCAGAGGACAACAACTTTTGGGACTCAGTTCTCTCTGTCCATTATGGAACTGAGCAGGTCACCTGACAGCACGTGCTTTTACTTACCTCTGAGTCATTTTGCCAGCCCTTGGATTATTCCTTAGGCACCAGGTACACAGGTACATTTCACATTCAAGGGAGCCTATGACATGCCTAGTTCCAAGCTGAACAGTCAAAATGTGGCTCCTGTTGTCTACTGGCTTCAAAAAAAATTTTTCAAGTCAGGCATGGTGGCACACGCCTTTAAGGCAGAGGCAGGCGGATCTGTGTGAGTTCTGTGAGTTCGAGGCCAGCCTGGTCTACACAGTGAGTTCTACGACAGCTGGGGCTACAGAGAGACCCTGTCTCAAAAAGACAAAAAAAAAAAAAAATTTTCAAGACAGGGCCTCTTAAGGCTGGTCTTAAACTCACAGGCTGGTCTTAAACTCACTATGTAGTCAAGGATGGCCTTGAACTCCTGAACCTTCTGTCTCCACCTCTCAGGGTCTGGGATTCCAGGCATGTGTCACTGCACTCAGCTGTGTACACAGCTTAATGGAACAACTGGAGGGCTTGTCACCCAGTAAATGACACGCAGCTGCACCCAGGGCTCCCCCCCACCCCCCAGAAAAGGCAAGCCAGCCCAGATCCACATCTGGAAGATGTGGTGTCTGGGCCCTGTACCACCCAGTGCTATGGGAAGGCTGTGGATTGAAGCAATAAAAACCAGGGCTGCACACAGTACAGCCCTGTGCCCTTGTTTACTTTCAAACCATCTGCTGTGGCTCAGACATGTGGTGTCTTGGCAAGCAGGCTAGGCTTCCCGGTGAGTCAGAGTCGGGGAAGCCACCAAACCCAAGGACAGCCCCCAGGCAAAGGATGACTATCCCAGCTCAGTCCCTTTCTGATCCCTGGAACAGACAGTTCTTTTTCCCCACTAGAGACAAGGCCCATCAGAGCTTGTCCTGCTACCATCCTCCTTCCATCTAGAAAAATCCGGCTGGAGGCTCCAGACCCCTTTGGACAGGTGAGGAGGTTCCTGTACAGAGCAGGGAAGATGCTCCAAGCCCTGGACCAGCCCAGCCAGCAGCCACATGGGAAAACAGCTGGTCCAGGTGGAGTGTACCACTGCAGACCACCCTGAATCTAGTGGTAAGGAAGGTGTGATGAATGTATCCAAGGGTTTAACCACACAGGAACCAGTAATGGAAGTTTGAAAGATATTTATTTAAAAAAGCTTTGGTATTTCAAAACCATCTATCACTAGAAATTTAAATTCCTCTCCCAAGGTCCAGAAGTAAAAAACCACAGACCCCCACAGACTCAGGGTAAGAAAGGGTCATCGTGCAAACCACTGGAGGGCAGGGAAGCCACGCCTTCCTCAGGCAGGGGGTCCACCTGGGGCTCAAGCCCAGCCTCCAGACTGTGCATGGGGGGCTTCTAGGTGCCAAAATGGTGGCAGGGATCAGTCATTGAAACCAACAGTCCTAATCTTAAGGTGGATGAAAAGCAAAACCTCAACAAAAATAAATTAGAAATCCATTCAAGAAAGAGCAACTTTAAATTAGGAAAAGAGCAATTTTTCCTAAACAAGTCTTCAAAAGAGATTCTATTTCCTGGGATAGAAGACATGGGGGCAAGTGGAAGGAGTGAGTTCAATTTCAAGTATTTTCCCTGCGGGTTCTTTAATGACTGGAAAGCTTACAGAAGTCCACTGGCCCTCCTTCCCCACTGACAGTCGTTTCTTCCAGTGCAAACTCTTGTACCCACAAGCAATTCTGAGTCACTGCCCCCCTCAAGGCACAAAGGGTTGGTGCTTCCAAAGGATCCCTTGTTTATCGCAGTGGCAGGATGCTCAATGATGGGTGTCTTGTGCAAACGGTGTCAGAAAGGACTTGCGGTTCACTCAGACACTGGGGTCTTCCTGTTCAATAAATGAAACAAGGGGACACTGTTCACACTAACCCATGGCTCAGCCACAGAAACATCCAAGGAGAAGGCAGGTGTGATGGGACATGCCTGTGATCCCAGAACTTGGGAGGTAGAGGGAGGAAGATCAGGAATTCAGGGCCAGCCTCTATTATATAGCGAGTCTGAGGCCAGCCTAGGCTACTTGAGGCCCTGTCTCAAAATAAATACAAACACACAGACACACACAGAGGCAGGGAAGCAGGCACAGGGACAACCCTGGTGGTACCCACTCTGGCTCAGATCCAGCCTCCTCAGACAGCTTCCAGCCTGGAATTGCCATGCAGGGGCCCATGAGCCTCCTTGGGCTGATGTGGCATGTTGGCTAGGGCTCTGGTCTGGCATGGCCCAGCTTCAATGTGAGGGACATGGGCAGTCTCCCAGGGAGATGATGGAGCTATCTTCCCAACTGGATGGGAAACAAGCAAGAGCAAGGGCAGAGAGGCCAGCAGCCAGTAGGGGAAAGGGCCTGCCTCTCCAGAGGCTGCATGATCCACCTTTTCTATCACAGCTGGCCAAAGCCGGCTATGTGGAAGAATTCTGCACACTTTCTAACCCAACTCTCCACTGATTCCCTCAGTGTGAGAACTCAGACCTACCTCTACTTGCTGCCACCTCCTTCGAGTCAAGCATTGCTTTCTCTCCAAGCCTGGCCTTGAACCAGAAAACTAGATGTCACAGAGCTTTTCAGTGGAGGGGCGGGCCTTCCTGTGGGATCCAGGATCCTTAAGTACTGGGGCACAGACCTAGAGCTTGGTCTACCTCTCTATGTCCTTATGGCTTGACAAGACAGGGGCAGAGGGGGCCTGACCTCTGAGGGTGATGGCCAGGCTGCTGGGGTAAGCACCAGGCATCGCAGCTGTTCCGCCAGAGGCTCTGAGCCACAGCCTGTTGTTTCTACATGCTAGATGGAGGGGGAAGCCAGTGAGCGCATCTGTCCCACAGTATTTCCCCTCTGGGGTCTCCTCTCAGAAGGTTTTTTTTTTTTGACTTTTTGAGACAGGGTCTCCCTGAAGCCCCAGTTGGCTTGGAACTCGCTATGTAGATCAGGCTGGCCTTGAGCCTTGAACTCACAGGGATCTGCCTGCCTCTGCCTCACAAGTGCTGTATTAATTAAAGGCATGCATCACCATGCCCAGCATAAAAGTGGTTTTAAAAAAATTTTTTTAAATACAGGGTTTTGCTGTTGGTCTTGAACTCACAATCCTTCTGCCTTAGCCTCAATGCTGGAATTATAGACAGATGTTCACCACTCAAATACACCAACTCCGCTCTCTGATGTTGAGATCTGTGGGCACTGGCTTAGGACATCCCCTGGTCAGACCACCCTTCCTGGACATAGGACAGAAAATGGCAAAGGCCTGGGGTTCTAGGGACAGAGGTGGCCTACCTTGCTCCTGAAGAGGGGCTTGGCTCCGGGTCCACAGTACTCATTGTAGATGAGCTTGAAGAGAAAGAGGTGGAAAAGGGTGATAAGGGAGGCCACACTGAACCAGAAGAGGAAGGGCAGGCCAGGGTCCTGTTGGGCCATGTGCTCATCATGGGCCAGAATGGCCTTAAGGTGCAGTGTGTGTCGCAGGTCCTGCAGATGCATGAGGTCAGTGGAGATGTACAGCAATGGGGTGATGGGCTTGGTCACCATGACGGAGAAGGTGTGGCCCCCAGACTCTGAGGTCAGCTCCACAGGGTCTTGGAGGCAACCTGCCTCGCAGGCATAGATCTTGACAGGATGGCCACGGTACTCCACAGACACATGCAGGTAGGGCTTGCCCTCAGCATCCACCAGCACAGCCAGGTTGATGTGGTCATTCTTGTAGCGGATGCCATGCAACGCGTAGCTGTTGTGCAGCACCTCGGGGTCGGCCTGGAACTGCAGGTGGTTTTCTGTGAACTGCAGCCCCCCAAAGCTGAGCACCATGCCTTGTAGGATGCCTGGGGCTCCCACCTTCACCAGCCCTTTGCAGCCACGCTTCTGGAGGGTCAGTTTCCACAGGTCGGAGAGCTGCAGGATCTGCGGCACTGAGGACAGATGGCCAGGCCACAGGTTCTCGGCATGCATGGTGGCATGGCCGCTGAAGCAGTGGTCTTCGTAGTTGAGTGTCGCCTCCAACTGTTCTCGCTCCCTGTGGCTCAGGGAGGGGCTGAGCAGTGGGGTTGGTGAGCAGGAGAGCATGTAGTACAGAGTCAGGTTCACAGTCAGGCCTGACGGGGTGTGAGCATCAGTGATCTTCTTCATCTCCACACCTGGAACATGACAAAGGCTGGGAGTTAAGGAAGAAAGCCTGGCTGGGGGCAGCGGCAATGAAACGAAGGTCAGGGCAGTAAAGGATGGAGCTCAGTTCAGTGGTAAAGGACAGCAGTTTCAGCCCCCCTGGGTATGGGAGCGCCATCACACCTGCTTGTGATGGTTAATCCTATCGACTTGATGGGATTTATAATCACCATGGAAACTAACCCCTGGACATGTTTGTGAAAGGTTTTCTGTATTAATTAAGGTGAGAAGACCCACCTTCATTGGGGGTGGTACTATACCATGGGCTGTGGTCCCAGACTGAATAAAAGGAGAAAGGGAGAGGAGAACCAATATTTCTTGGTTGCAGACCCAATGGGACCAGCTGCCTCACGTGCCTGTCGCCATGCCTTTCCCACCATGATGGACTGCGTCAGTCAAAACAAACCCTTTCTTCCTTAAGTTGCTTTTGTCAGGTATTTTGTCATAGCAATGAGAAAAGCAGTATGACACCTAACATGACCAACTGGCATCTGTGGAACCTCCTGCCAGAGCTGAGAACAACAGACACTCGGCCAGGACCTAGTGTCATCCCTATGGTCTAGTACCCTCAAACCACACAGTGCCACAAGTGTTCCAGCCAGTCCTGGCTCGTTCTCCTATACCTTTCTCCAGTACAATGGCTATTTAAAAAAAAGAAAATTATTTTATTTTGGAGATAGGGTCTCGGTGCAGCACAGGCTGGCCCTGAACTCACAGTGATCTTTCTGCTGGGTTCTGAGGGTCCAGATGTAAGCCACCGTGTTTGGTTTTTGTGCTGTAGCTTTAAATGAGATGGCCCCAAATTTTAATGAGTCTAGACTCACAGGACTAACCACCCGTTTCCACCTAGATATCTGACAGGTGTAACGGACACAGAGCGAACTCTCCCAGCCCCAAACCAACGCTTCCCCAGGTTATTTCTAAGCAACTGTCCACATCCCCCAAATCTAGGAATCACCTGCCACAGCCAATCCTAGCAGTCCATGTCCTGGCAGTTCTGTCTCCATGGTCACAACCCAGATACCTCCTTCTTCTGGCCTGCCCGGAACCTCTTACCTGTACACTGGGATGCTCGTCTCAAATGTACATCAGACAGTTTCTGCCCTGCTTTCCATCCTCCCATCTCAGAAGAAAACTCATCTTTCCCCAGGCCTTCAAGGCCCACTCCACCCTGTCCTATTCATCACTTGGCCCACCTGCTCCTGCCCAGGGCAGTCTCCAGTCTGAATATCCTCTTTGTTGTCACATGAGTGGTTGTTTCTTCCCACTCAGCTCAGCTACGTGTCTCCCCACTCAGGGAGCTGAGCGGAGACACCACACTTCTCCTCAGCACTTCCACTCTAAAAGCTGTCTCACTGAATTCCTCATGTCTCTAATATCGTTATCTCTCAACTACACTAAGGCTAAGGCAAGCACTAGGTGAACAGGAGCTTGTTTATTCACAAACACAACAGCTTCTGACAAAAGCATTTGATAAACACCTGTTGAATGAACTAATTCTTTCTGGACAACCAAACAAGAGTTTGAACAACTACAACTCTGGAATCCAAAACCCAGTGCTGCGAACAGCACTTTCCCTTAAACAGTCGACAGAAAAAGGGTTTTATTCGCAAAGAATAAATAAAAGATTTTTTTTTTCATTTGCCATGCACATTCCAACCTGCTGGACGTTTCCAGCTTCCTAGTGAAAGAGACACAGCTACAATGGTCCAGGTCAAACCAAGAAACAGAGGCCAGGCCCAGGCAGGCCGAAGTGGCCTAAGGAGAGGGTCTGGGGATCCCTTGGTGGTTTATTCTTTATGAACTGATCCTTCCCCAAAAAACCCCTACTCAGATCAGGCCTCACCACCACCACCAAATGTAAGTCCTGACCTTCACATTCAAATCGTCATTAAAACCCCATAAAGGACGTTAGTGCAGCTGTTACTTGTTAATGAATACAGGCTCAGAAAGATAAGGCCACAGAGCCAAGGTCACACTGCTATAAAGTAGGTAAATGGATTCAATTCCCAAACACCAACCCTAAACTTCAACCTGCAGTGTGACAGCTGCAGAACACGCGGCCTATCTCTACAGTAGACGTGTGCACACTGGTACAAAGTGGAGATTACTACCAAGCCCTAACCAGGCCTCACCTGGGCTGAACAGCTGGGCCCAGAGGTGCTGATGGTCCTGAAGCAGCTCAGCGGCAGGCACCTCCAACAGCTCCAGCATTTCCTTCCGGGCCAAGTCCTGTAGCGCCTTGAGCTCCTTGGCTACTTTGCTTTTGAGTGTCAGGGGGTTGATGAGGCCAGAGACATGCACCACCCACAGCACCGTCTCATCCAACTGTGTCTTGGGAGCTACCTGGAGCCGGTTCACTAGCTTCTTGGCAGCCACCACCACCAGGTGCACCAGCCCGTTTGGCAGGGGTGTGGACCGACCCGAGTAGAGGAGGAACTGATGATCCTCGACCTTCTCCAGGGTACTGGTGAAGGACTTGGGGACAGGGCCGGCGGTGGGCCCCACAGTCTGCAGCGCGGCCACTCGCTCGGTGGGATTGTTGAGCTGGATGCGCTGCAGGTAGACGTGGGATCGGCCCCGGTGCGCCAGGAAGTCCTCCTGCAGCAGCACGCAGTCACGGCCTGACCCCGTGGAGAGGCCCGAGGCCGAGGCGGGCCCGGGGACCCCAGCGGCAGAGCCGGGGCCCGGGGTCCCGAGCTGCAGGCACCGCACCCGGCGCAGGAGGCCCTCCCGCAGCAGCAACACAGTCTCCCTGGCCTCGGCCAGCACGTTCAGCGGGTGCAGTTGCACGAAGGGCACGAAGTCCAGCGCCACGGCGGGCTCCCGCTCCCCGGGCGTCACCCACAGCCGGTTGTTGGCGGCGTCCAGGGCCAGGAAGCCGTTGGCCACCAGGGCCGGCACCCCGGGGCCCAGCGGCACGGCCTCGCCGCGCTCCCGCAGGCCGCGCCAGGCCCGGGTGGCCGCCTCCAGGCA